GTTTAGAAGTGGTGAGTGCAGACGAAATAAAGCAGTTAATAGTAGAATGAGCAGTTATTATAGTAGAATATTACTAGGAAGCAAAAATGGAGAAAGCCAGAGACAAAGGCTGCTCGGCGAATGGAGCGTTGAGTTAACTAACATGGGATACGCCTACCGTAGTAAGGAGAGTATAGAAGAAAAAATAAGAAACGAAACAAAGAAGGTCCAGCGTTTCCTGAGAGACGAAGTAAGCGATGTTACCTCTTTTATATACGCTAAATGATCATAACCTTTTACAGAAGGACAAATTCAGTGGAACGGGAGGGGGAGTTTACGTGCTAAAAAAACTGGCGCCTTATCTGCATCCCCTTGCTGATGCTTTAGCCGAAAAACACCATGTTGGAGGAATACCGGGAATAGGTGACTAGATTTCGCATTCTCCTTTTACAGCTAAGTAAACCCTTTTCAGAGGACGCGTCCGGAGAAGAGGACGTTGCGATTACGACGGACGGCGCCGAGCAAGATGCAGTAAGGTAAGATCACACTTGCTATATATAGTTATAGTATTCCATAGGCCCTAAACAGACTTTGTATTTATTATCCTGCTCTGTTTCAGTGATGAAGCAGCTGACAAACAAGCCGATGCTCTCGCTTCCACCGATCCTGGGCCATCACAAGAATCTCAGGAAAGCTCTAGGCCGTCTCAGGCATCTGCTCCAACACCGTCGCGGTATAGGAGTATGACTGCGTAAGGCATTTAATGCTGCCATTTGTTTTTTCCACTTATAAATCCTTTTCAGCACCGCACGTGAAGCACTGTCACTGTTCTCTGATAAGAGAACTCAGCTCTACGAGGAAGAGATCAAGGTGGCGAGGATGAAGCAAAAGAAACTCCAAGTCGAGATACAAGTGGCTGAGTTGAAGAAGGAGGAAGCAAAATTTTTAGTCGAAGCCGCGAGGGCGCGATACAATGCGACGAATCCCACATCGCCTACCTCACGACCATCCACTGCGGAGGCCACGTCCCCCACTTCCAAATATATGCGGTACTACAACATTTAGAGGTTCGGAGCCAAACGTTATATTTAGAGGATATATCACACTAGAAGTAGGGAAAGATTTCTCTCTCAAAACATTTCACAGCATGGTCCGTATTGAAGTTATTGTACAATAAATTGTGTGGCGATTTGCTGTAGAATTTACATAACAAAGTTTATTATACAGTATTTCCATAGAACGTAGAAAATGGAATGGTTATAGGTCGGGAGGTAGTAGGAATGACTTAAAAAATGCTTGAATTTTCTTACAGAGCCGAACAAGGCAAAAACACCGATCATGCGAAGTAGTTTTCGACAATAAAACGGCGCATGCTATCGCCTTCTCCTACGTCCGGCAAATCGGGATCTTCATTTCCTGCTTCGGGGTACTGCTGAGCGATGGCTTCATCCTCGGTGAAGCTACGCTCGCGTGTTTGTATGCAGTAATTCCTCAAGCAGCATGCGGCCACAATGATCTTTGCACTTCTAGCGGGACTGTGCCTGTAAAGATTTAGTCGTTAGGTATGTGCGATGAATATGTTAGGTACTACCTAAGCTCCGTGTGCAAGGCTTGAAATTGCCTTTTGAGTGATCCAAACGCATTTTCGATCACAACCCGCCCGCGGCAGACAGCGTCGGTGTAGCGTGTTTCTAGAATCAAAAGCTTCAAAAAAATAAACTTGTGTGTGCGAACATGAACCTGCAGCTGTCCTATTTTCCCTCAGAATCGGCTTCAAAAGGAATCTTTCGGATCTGTACGCGCTATCGGCCAGCAAAATGCCAGTTTTTCTTCCTGTCTGCAGCGATCTATACAGAACACTGCTGCGAAAAACCTAAAAAAATTATTTTTCTTCATAGATAAGACTGCATATTTTATCTCACTCTAGAGTCGTGTGCTCTGCCTGGGTACTTAGCGCTCACCCACAAAAAGCGCTGGTCTAGGTCGCATACAGCC